GACTAACATACCCTTTTAATTTGATTTTAATTGTATAATTAATATATTAAAATGATTGGTTGAGATTGGTTCTCACAGTTACCACGAATAACTCAGTTCTCCCTTGAATAGGCCCCTATATATATATATATATATATATATATATATATATATATATATATATATATATATATATAAGGTTAAAAGATACTTTGACATAATATAAAAGGAGCTCGGAATTTATAAGAAATACGTTAAAAAAAGTCACCACTTTCAAATATCGATTCATTTACATCAGATCAGAAAATGACTTTTACCCTTTTATACTTGATGCAAGTCTTTATTACTAACATTGGAGATACCCACCGTACAAACTCGCATCTTTAAGCAAACATCTCTGCATCTCTAGAATCAATGAGCCACACGTCAAGGACGGCAAACTTGCACTTTGTGTCACCTTTTTTGATTAAAATTGTTTTATTCATCGATCATTCAATCGACGTCATGTCATTAGCAATTTTCCTAGCTGTTCTCCAAGTCTTCTAGGATTAGTCGAGGCACACACAAGTTAGCCCGAACACCTACAGTTAACCAAAAAAAGACATACCATCTTTAAGCTTTCATACAAACGATCATGGTACTTGTCATATAACTTTTATCATTTATATATATTCAAACATTATAAAAATAAGTTTTAGAAATCGACTCAAATGAAAAATGAACAGACTCGAACATAAATAACTCATTAAAATTTTGAATCGTTATCATTCTTAATTATGTTAATAATGCGTGTGGAGCTAAAAGTGTAGTGAGGGTCAATCGAGTGGGGCGGCATATGCATTGTTTTTGTTGTTGCCCTGAAAAACGAGTTCCATATGGCATTGCTTTGATGCTTTCTTCTTCTTGGCCAACAACTTTGGAGATATCATTTTCTTGTCTATCTTGGCCCCAATTAAGTTTTATATGTTTTCCATGAAAATTTAGCAAACCATTTTCCAAGATTTATTAGAAAACATCGTATGGAAAAATACAGATATTTCAATTAATGTTTATATCAGGATTTGAGATATGGTAGACACTAATGAGGTGTACCGGATCAATTCTCTTTTAAGTTGCAATTTATGGGTGAACATGAGATTAAAACTGATAAAAGGTTCAGATTTCTTCTTTGCTTCTCACTAAGGGTGCTCATGGATTGAGTTGATCGGGTTGAAAACATTTGAACAACCCAACCCAATTATTGCGGTTTGAAAAATCTTAACCCAACCCGAACCAAAGTGCAACTCAACCCAACCCTTACGGGTTGGTCGGGTTGCTACTTTGGTACGTTAAAATATTATTCTAACCTAGAACATGTTAGTTCTCTACTCATAATTTCTTTTTCATAATCAACCATTTGATGCAAATTATTCATACTTATTACGTATATCGCATTTAGTTAAATTTCTCAATTCACATATATATGTTCACGTTTACTGAACATATATACGAATGGATTATATAAAGATGTGAATATAATGAAAATATATGTATATGAAGGGCATACATGATAATGTAATTGTCAAATGTACATATTAATAGAAATTCAACAATCATATTAAATCCAAGAAATAAAAGGATATAATGGGTTCATCGGGGTGGGCTGAGTTCAAATAATAGTAACCCGATATCAACCCAATACCTACGGTTTGACAATTTTACAACTCGATTAGACATGGGGTTGTTTCGGGTTGTGTTATTTCGTGTTGGGTTGGGTTGGGTTCAAATAATAGTAACCCGATATCAACCCAATACCTACGGTTTGATAATTTTACAACTCGATTAGACATGAGGTTGTTTCGGGTTGTGTTGTTTCGTGTTGGGTTGAGTTGGGTTCAAATAATAGTAACCCGATATCAACCAAATACCTACGATTTGACAATTTTACAAATCGATTAGACATGAGGTTGTTTCGGGTTGTGTTATTTCGTGTTGGGTTGATCCTGTTTTTGAGCACCCTTACTTCTCACCATAACTTACATTCTCAGAGATCTTTCGCCTCATTGTAAATGATATGTATTAGAAAAATACTTAATAGATAATATCATGATTATAAATGTTATAGCTTAAAGACTGTTTTTTTAATCAAATATATATGTTACAAGTGAATTTTATTATGACAACTAAACTGAAACTGTAGGTTATTTAGTTCGGTCAAATTCAAATGACTTGATTAATCTTTTAAATGTTTTTCATGTAATACGGCAAGCAATTATGTTATTACATTATATATATACTAGAAGCGTACTCGCGCAATGCAGCGAGATACATCATGATTTTAATATTTCATTTTATT